CAGTATGCGTTTCAAATTTTAGCAGCTTCAAATCTGTAGGCAATACATCACGATACCATGGAAGAGTTAAGGTTCTTTATGGTCCTTCTTTGTTGGGGGTGGGGTGGTGGGGAAAGATACAGTTGTGAGTAATTAATTTTACTCACAGCCTCTAAGACTGGAGTTACACATTTAGAATTTAAACACACTCTCAGTTCAGATAACAATTGTAACAAGCGCAAATTTGTAATAAAACTACTTAGGGGCAGTGTGTACGTGAGTGTTTGTGTAGAAATCCACCAGGCTATGGCAGAGCAACCACCTTGATATAACTGTGCATAATTGCACCAAACATGTTCTCCATTCTACAGCTGCTAAATCTTGATATTGAAACAGCTCGACACAAAGTGCACCCTTTCTGATACCAAGTCCCATTATTGCAGCTTCACAGAAGGATTTTCCCTACAGGTGAAGTAAGGTATTGTATTACAGACTTTTCTCTCACTGAGCAAAAGAAAAACTCCTTGGTCTGTCGTTTTATTTAAATCTGGGAATAAAGGAGCTTCTCTGTAACCTCTGATCAGGTCACGTTAGACACCAGTTGGATTCGGGCTTGCAACTGGTGGAAAAATACAGACATAAAAAAAATAAGAACTGCCCGGACCTCTGGGCACTCTGTTAGCAGCAGCATGACACACTCAATCTTTCCAAAGAGGTGAAATAAGCAGGAAGAGCAGAAAATCATTACATTCCTGGAGTGCATTTCAGTTGTTGTCGTTGCTGTCTGACCACAGCCCAGGACATCTATCATTGACAGCTTATTTCTTTCCAGAAATTGCCACTCACAGCAGCGGCACCATCGATGAACTCATCAATCATTCCCCTTTCAATAGGTTAATACATTACACCCGCAGTGACTCCCAACTGGTCCAAGGTCAACAATATTTACTTGACCTTAGACCTTTGCTAAATTCATTTTATGTAGACTCTGAAGGAGGATGGCAGGGATTGGAGTAATCCCTCAGGAATCGTCTCTTCAGTATATCCCACCGGCTCCAGCTACAATTTATATGCATTGAAAGGTTGCACATATTTACAATATGAATATATAATTTATCAGATTGACCACACAACTTCACCTGGTTAGTGTTTGTGCTTCTGCCTTTACGATCCATTAAATCTCATCAGGCACATGACTGTCAGATCCAAACATCATCTACACTCAAATCACCAACACTGATATGAAACAAACCTGCCTAATCCATCTCGTTTAAAACAAATTATTTTGGGGGATGAAATGAGAAAGTCCTTGTTAAAATGAGAAGCATCAGTGATGAGGAGCTGATTGTTTTTTAAACCTTGTTACGTTTGGTGTCTGGACCAGCTATTCTCATATCAGCCCAGCACAGATCGGATTCAGGTCAAAGGTCCATCTGCAACCTGAAGAAAAATTTCCCACTGCTGTACCATCAGCACAACCATGTTTAGAATCCATAAAAGGGAGTGCTGCAGTGGTGCTAAATCATAGTCAACTATGTACTGAGAATTTACTTGGTATGAAAGCTAATCTCTGAGGCAGCAGAAAGACAGCCTTCTCTTTCATCTTGGCTGAAATTAAACACCATTCTCGACAATTTAAGCAATAACCCACTCAACAGCAAAAAAAATGAGCATTCACTTCATGGTGTTTTGCAGGACATTGATGTGTACAAATTCTCTGCCGCAATTGCTCACAAATACACAGTCACTACGCCGCACTAATATCCTATTAAGTGCTCTGAGATGTCTCAATAACAAGAGGAGGCAAATATATTAAATAGAGGATTATTATTATTATACACTACCACTAATTACTGATGGCAATGTGATTTTGCAGAACATTTAATGATTAAATTATATACAACCAAGATGCTTCAAACAGTCACAAGATTTTTATTTGAAGATTTTGCGTTAAACCTCATCTCTTTTAAGATGAACTTTTTTTTTCAAATCTCCTGGGCATTACACCGAGTACAAATGAATTGCACATAATCTTACTTGCTTTCTAAAGCCAGATTTTCTCTCAACTTGACCCAAATGTTGACTCTGGAAGCTAACTTTTAATCATCACCGGTATCTAATTTAATTGACCTGCACAGTACATGGCAGCTAATTGGCATTACCCTGCTGGAAGTAGATATTTAAAGGGAATATTTGCTTAGCCAATGATTCATTCCGTGAGCTGTACAATGCTGGTTTTATAGGAGCGATGGAACAAAAGGAAGTCTGGTTACCCTGGATCACGGTGGAGACGAGCATGTCTACAAAAAGCCTTTTCCTCCATTACTGAAAATTTTAAAAGAAGAAAACATGTAATTTTAATGATCTGGAAGGACAAGAGCAGCCCTATTTCTCTCTTCAGATGGCTCCCTACCTCTCTGTTCAGATGTCTACATTGTTGCTAAATTAGCGGTTCAGGAAAATGAAAGCTTCTCGACTTTATAGCCCTGTCAAGTTTCACTTTATTTGATTTAACTCAGTGATTCTTTTAAAGAAAAAGAGCTATTTTATCCAGAACTTATTGTACGCAATGAAGGAACTTGACCTACAAATGGAGTCAAGACACCATGGTAACCAAAGTGAGCATTAGGTAGACAATTTATTCACTCAATGTATTTTAGATTGGCCTTTTTTGCCTCGTCTGATAAAGACCATTGCATTCCTTATACGTTTACACATTCAAGGAGAGAGATTCTATGGTTAAAATAAATTGTTTTGGGCTATGGGCATGTAGTGGACACACCTCTGACACCGACAGGACAATAACCACTTGTTCCAATTAAACTTGCATTCCCTAGTAATAAATGAAAACAAGGCCAAGGTACTTGCCATCCAGAAAAATCATTACCATCCTAAAGGGAGGGCTACTCAAAAAGTTTAGGTAATATAAAATTCTTCAACTTGCTTCTTGGGGAGGCAGGAGGTGGGATTTCTGATCTTGTTTGGCCAGATGAACTCCATTTGGAACAGCAGTTCCATACTCCTATCATACTACTAACTGGATTTTAAAATAAACCCTGTACTTAATGCATCCAAATGCAAGTGAACACAAATTTCTGCTTCTCTGGACCTCACAATGAGACTCAATACCAGGACACTTTTGATTTCTTATCTTCGATTCTGGAAACTACTTGTTAAAATAATTTCAAAATGCCGCTGGTCATTTCTGAATCTCGACAGCTGAACCACAGTGCATCTTTCCAAGTACTAACTTTAATTTGGTGCCGTTCTATATACGAGTTTGTTTTCCCAACCTCATTACACAATTGACTAATTCTCTACTAAAAGATCCCCAGTGGGATCAGCTCCACTTCACTTGCTGCTCCCAGGAAGATGCCAGATGGCATCATTATTGCAGCTGTGCTCAGCGCGTTCAGGGTACAGCAAGTGGCATTGCTCCACCAGCAACCAGTGAATAAGGTGGGAATTGCAATGTAAAAACAGATTGGGACGCGCTTGAAGAATAAAGAGCTATTAAACGAATTAGATAAGCAGAATGCGTCCCTCCAGGGAAAGATTGCACATTCCATTCCAACAATTCATCTCTGGGATTTCCATGTGTAGGTGGGATGCATGGAAATCTCAGCTTGGTTTGGATACTCTTAAGTATGGTGATGGGTTTCCGCGTGTGTCACACACTCGGCTGGCAAAAAAAAAGCTATACAAGTTACTAACATCCATTCACAATTCAAAAACTGGTCAGGTTAAATAGTTACATTGTGTTATAAATTTCAATTTGTTTTTATAGGGGAACAATAAAATAATAATATCCATTTCATATGGTTAATAAATTAATAGAGATGAGGAACTTTGCCCCGTTTGCCTTAGATATGTTGCATTGGACAGATTTATTGTTCTACTGAGAAAAAAATGTCCTTGTCACCACAAATGTCATCAGCATTGCTGGCTTAGTTAGGGTAGAAGGATAGCACAAGATCAGATGTATATGTAGTGAACCTTGTATTTGATGTAGCGCCTATAATGCAAAGCTCAAAGCTCTTCACAAGGAATTGCTGTTCAAGTGTAATGATTGTGTACAGTGGTCACGTTTTGCAATTGTACTGAAATCTGGTATATCGGAAAGATTTACCTGCTTGTGATGGATTTGGTGATCTCTTACTTGAACGAATGGGTGTGAATACTCATTGGCTTGTATATGAGTGAGCGAGTGTGTGCGTACATTGCATACATCAGTGTGCATGAGAAGAAAGGGTGAAAAAGAACATTAAAAATGTTATCGAAGTATAACTGCTACCTGATGTGCAGCCATAGCAGCAAGGAAACACAAGTAAAAGGGATCCCAGTTTAAAAAAAATACAGGAAAGAGAATAAAAACGACAAGGACTAACACATGCTAAAATGCTCTGCTGTATTATTGCAATCAGTCCACACCTGTCAACTTGAAAACTGTGGAGTTGGATAAAACTCCCATCCATATGAGGTCCTTTGGTACATCAACAATTTGCCATGTAGTAAGTGGACTAATCCAGCTCACTGGGGGAAGTGAAAGCAGAAGAAAAGGTAGAGAAGAAACTACAGTGGGGGAAACTCCACGCATCACATTGCCTGGTGGGTAGTTACAATTTAGCATTGGCAGAAGTTTGCAAACAGCTTGCAAATGGGTGATTTAATACTTTTAATGGTAGAATGGGGATTGTATTGAATCAGATGTAAAGCATTTCTGAAAGAAAAACATCTTGGCGATGCCCCTCTTTTTGCTTCGAATGACCAAGCTGGAATTTTGCAGAGTGCAAGAGACGCCAAAACCAAAATTAGGCTCTGATACCTGCCAATGTGGCTGATCCACTGAATTATATATGAACGAAATGCCTGCGTTGGCAGTGAGAGAAGGCAGATTAACAGACAGATTTAATATTTCTCGTTGCCATCAGTGCTATGCCTTACAGTCACAGAACACACAAAAAAACAGAGTGCTGTTAGTCCAGTATTTGGGCCTGATGTATGACCTGTTGAGTGCTTACCTGACCAATGACCAGAGGAAGTGCCAGATCTATCAATGCAAGTTTCACTAACAGGCTTAAAGACGGTCTCCCAGCCACCAGTGGAGTAGCGCCAGTTCTGAGACTCCAGAATAAGAGTGCGCTGGGTACCAAAGGCTATCATAAAGCAGTAGACCACATGATGCAGCTGACAACCATAGCCACAGCCCTTGTTGATATTACAGACCAGCTTCTTGGCTTTGCTGCAGTCCTTGGGGTTCTGTGAGTGAAAAAGGAAGGCAAGATTAGATGAATATAGTAATGAGACAAATCAAAGAACATCCCTCACAGTGCATCTTCTGTGACCTGCTGCATACATGAGACTTCTCCACAAGTAAAAGCTATCAAGGTTTTTGTGCAGGTTTTAAAACCTTGGAAATGAAACAAAATTGGTTGACAAAAAGCACTTAATGGTTCCAGAACAGTTTGGTGGTGCAGTCAGCTGGGCCAGAAAACAATGGGTCTAAATGCAAAACAAAAAAATTATGCTCATAACAAAATGTTCTACACTGTGAATCCACACTAGAGAAGTGCTGGAAGATGGGAGTTAAACCAAATATTTGGGGAAAAAAAAGAAAATTATAAAAAGAGCAAATGCCATTCGGTCTATTAAAACTGTTCCTTCTACGGACAAGGTACAAATTTTAAATTTTACAAATCTACCAATAAAAATTAAGGCAAAATAGCAGGTGAAAATGTAACAAGCATTCCACAGGGAAGCAGGTTGAAATAAACTGACAAGACACTTCACTCTGAACAACATAAGCGTTTGGAACTGAACCACCTATGTTTAATTCATGCATTCATAATTTAATCAACTGAGAAAGTGAATAACCAGTTAAAATTTAACCTTTGCTTGACATCTAAGGGCATTTTGCAAAATGCCACAATATCAACTGAAAGTAAAAAAAAGTAACCATTCCAGCTGCATTTTGCAGACAAAACTTATATTATGATAATCCTTGCATTTGATACAGCGCCATCTGTATCATCTCAAAGCGCTTCAAAGAATATACTGTAAACTGAATTGACAATATTTTGTGGGCGAAGAGCAGCAGTTAATTGCCCACAGTAGTGTCCCACAAATAGTCGTGGATTGAGTGACTACATTTTAAAAAAATGTTGAGACATTCAGCAGGACTGGTAGCATTGCATTCCAGAGAGTATTTGATTTTCTCAATACTCATCCTCATCACCTTCAATCCAGCTCTTCTTCAAATGGATTTATTAATACACCATCAGCTGGCTGTGCTGAATTCTATTTTGCATATCTACTGTTTCTCATTTCTAGTGCCTTGGTAATTTTGTACTCCTATGATCACACTAAATGAAACTGCCTGCTTCTATATATACTCACACCATCCACCCACACCCAAACACCCACCCACCCACACACAAGAACAGGACTCTGCTTCTCTCAAATAGTCTTTTCTCCAGTGTTCAATTCACCAGTGGTTCCCAAACCACTCTTGCTGCTGCTGATGATAATGATGATCCAACTCTATTTTCATCACCTCCCCTCAGATCAGATAATTAAAAATAATCCTTGCAATTGACATATTTCACAGCTTTTTGGGTAAACGTCTCAAAGGGCTTCACAGTTTTTTTTAAAAAATGTAGAATTAATATATATTGGTAAGCAAACACTGCAGCCAATTTGCACACAGCAGTAACCCACAAATGCCCATTTTTTACCTGGAGAACTGTTACAACAACAACCTGCATTACATAACACCTTTCACACGGGGTAGCGTCCCTGAGCATTGTTAGCCAGGACACCAGGAGAAATTCCTTTAGTGCAATAGGATTTTTAATGTCCACCTGACCAGGCAGACTCCATTACAGCTTACGTGGTTTTCCTTGCTGTCATTGTATAATGGCTGAATCAATAAACTATGATCTCCTCCATGCCTTACGTTGACGCATGTAAAAATCTTGCCTCTTTCAACTCACTAGTTCATGAATCAAACCACTAGCTCAAACCCTCTAGGCTTAATGGGTTCATTCTTACTTACAACTTAACTGATGATATCCTGGATTTGTCTACGTCCTTTGAAAAGATTTCAAACCAAACGTATAGCTTTTCCATTTCAAGAAGCTTGCTTTGTCTTTTGTGACAGACATTTATTTTCCCAATAAACAACCCTCAACTCTCTTCAAAACCTGAGGCAGACCAAGATTTGAATGTTGCTCGGTAGGCTGAATCATACTTCTCTTACATTCCTTGATGCCTGTCTCCACCTTTCTTGACAGTCAGCATTACTCTGTGGCCACTGGTTGGAACTAGGTGATAAAAGCTAGCATTAACTTAAAAATATGTTTTCGATAACCTTTTTGATAATGCAGTGGCTATTTTGACTGCTAATAAACTGCTCAATCTTCCCTTTCTCCTCTAAATCTAAACCAGGCAATAACTAAGCAATTTAATTTGATTTTTCTCATCCTCTCACCTACTTTTCACACATTGTGGCATTCATCTTGCCTCAACAATAAAAGAAATTCAGAGAGACTAAATCCCAGTCTAATTCTCATCATGCTTCTCTGCACAATAAATGCATCAACGTTTTTTTCAGGAGAGGGCTCCCAAAATCATATGCACTCATTTCAAATGGGCCTTTTCCAATGGGTTACGCAGGGCTGAGCAGTTTTCACTTATATCCAAATGCCCTGAAGATGTTTCCAGCACTTGATGATTACAATAGTCTTGCTGATAACAGCTTCACACTGACAGCTTATTTTCAGTGAACTTCTAAAAGCCTGTTTCCATGAGTAGTCACATCACTTTCAATACAGTAATGAGGCCACACTGTGCCTGCGAAAGCATAACAAAAATTCACCTCTTGCACTCACCTATTTCACAGTCTGAGAACTAGTTTTGATGACAATGGTTCCGGACCTGGAGTGATTGACGCTGGACAAATTCATTTTGGGGGCAGTTGCATTATTTAAACATTACCACGAGGCACAGCAATGAAGCTTTTGATAAGCACCTCATGACAAATAGCCTGCACCATGCAGTTATAAAACAGCTTGAAATCAGAACCAGGTTCCTTTCATGTTGAAATGACACCATGGTTTTCATTCATACTGGAGGCTTGCTGCTGAGACCACCGTCCCATTACACAATGAAAAAGAATCTATTTCAAAGCAAGGTATTACACTTGTGTAGATCGATGGTGGAGTGCAGGGCTATGATAAGAGTAAATAGGCTGTCAAAGCCTGCATGTGCAGTGAAATGAGAACCCCCAGGTGAAACAAACTTTGGAGTTCCAAAAAAATGGTCACTAAGATGTCCATCTCCTTCTTAAAACCCACTCAGGCAAACGTTAGACGAGATGTAGTTTATCTCCTGGGTCAGGTTCTCCAGAGCAGCAGATGGCTTTCACGGCTGCGCCCCTTCCTAACAGCTGCTCTACTTCATGGACCAACACAACAGAACATAACAATAGTTTCTTCTGGGTCTTGCCCAGTAATAAGCTACCGTCAATAAACCAATGAGGTTTCACCTCATCACCAGCAGTCACGTGGTATCACTCTCAACTTTCACAAAGAATCTTTTTTTGAAATAATAGTATTTGGAGGAGATGGTATTTGAGACAACTAGCTTGGTGAAATAACACAGAATACTTTCATACTGGTCTTAAAGATGTTTTACATGGCTATATGTTGCAGTGAAACGTTTTTCCACTGCAATTTTCACATTTTTAATCTTAATTTGGCCAAATGTAAAGACAAATAATAGATTTGTTGTTCCAAATACGAGCCACGTACCAGACATCAGCATCAAAACACTCCCCTTTTAGTGGATAAGAATAAATAACATGTAGTATAAGCAGAAATGCACAATCAGGGCAGATGAATTTTCTTCCACTTGTGACCTGGGTCAGTGAAACTAGTTGATTGTTCTTATTTTAATCACAGACAACACTCATCCCACAATCACACATTTGCCTTTCCCATCCCTGTAACAAACCTTGGTTTGCATTGCTCACAATCTCCATCTCTTACTGGTGCTGAACAAAACATCAGCCTGCTTATTTGTCACCAACCCATTCCCAGCAGTTTCAGTGCAAGGCAAGACAGCCAAATGCAACATACATACTGCCACAAGCAAATCAGCTTCATATCTTTGTAATGGAGAAAAAGAACGCAAAGATGCCATTTTAAATTAAGGACCATTATCAATACCTGAAAGCTTAAGCCTGCTTTGAAGAGATAAACCAGCCTAAGTGGTGTGCCTATAACTTGCTCATTAAGTCTACGGTCTTTCAACAATTTTCTGGCAAGACATTTTCTCCCCACCCTATTTCATTAAAATATCTTGTGCATGAGCACCATCGCCCACTAGGTAACCCTTATTCCCATCCCCTGAATAAGAAGCTTTCAGTACAGATCAAATTCATCCACTCAGTCTTCAGGGAGAGTGAGCATGTTCATTAAAGCCAGTCTCAGCATTCCAGCCTCTTTAACTGAAGTGTTGCTGGTCAATTAATCCACCAAGCTTCAATGCTCTGTTGGTTCATCATTTGCCAAAAAGACTGCTGGGTTCACAAACAACATCATTACTGGGACTCTGATGCTGCCAGGTTTGAACCACACTGGAACTTGGAGCATCTGTGCACTGTTGCAAACGTTTCACTCAATTTATATGAATCTGTAGTGTCTCCAGCATAGAATCACTTTAGCTACTGTGCAATAAATTCAACATAGATCTGTGAAATTTATCATTACTTTCAAAGCTATTTTAACATGTTGAATTCAGAGATTTGGCATGAGAATGAAACAGATTTTGAAATATCTACAAAATGCTTAAATTCCTAAAGGATTAAACATCCAACATGATCTTGTGGCAATAGACTTAATGGGTCTCTGAGCCTTGTATCTTTTTCTTTCTATCTCTCTATCTGACAAACGTGGGACGAGCACCTGGTTGAGATCAGATGTTTCACTGCACAGGGAATTGTAGTTATACACCAGCAACGTTTAACTCCATGGTCCTATGATATTGGCACATAACTGGTCTGTGCCTCAACACTGTTCATCGGTGAAGAACCTCAGTGCAATATATCTATGATTAACCGCTAGTTGCATTCGACTTCAGTGGAAGTTCACACCAGTCAAAACACAATTTTTACATTCAACAGACCATGAAGTTGCAATGAATTCTAATGTCCTTTCAAGAAAATGTAGCACATGCAAGAGATATGGTCAACAAATACT